AGAACCCCGGCGTCCGGGCTCCCCAGCCCTGCCCCTCCCCTCCCCTCCCTATCCCAGCGCCAGGTCCGGAACCCCAGCATCCGGGCTCCACCAGCCTCCACTCCACGGGGTCGGCGCTCACCTGCGTGTAGACCAGGGGGACGCTGATCCAGTCGTAGTGGAACAACATGCTGCAGTTCGCACGGAACTGATTCAGCTCCTGGAAAGGGGTGGGGGGGCATTTCAGAACCAGGGAGGGGGCAGATCCCTGCTGGGGGGGGGCAGCTTGACAGTCCCCCAGGGACAGACTCAGGGCATCCCCAGGAAATGCCCCCTGCCCAGCACAGAGCCCCCACCACTGCCAAGGTGGCTCCCCTCACTGGGGTCCCCTCTAGAGCTTGGGGGGGGGGGCTCAGTTGCCCCCATCAGCCCCCAGTTAGTGCTGATAGGACGCAGCTGGCTGGGAACTGAGCAGAGACCCAGCAAACTCATCACCTGGCAGATGAGGCACCGGATTTGCCAGCCACCACCAGGGGCTGGATTCAAACCAGCTGGGACAAGAGGTAGAACCCAGGCATCCGGGCCTTCTACCCCCCCAACCCAGAGCTGGGCCCAGAACCCAGGTGGTTGGGGCTGCCCCCCCCCCCCCCAGCCGGGCACAGAACCCAGGCATCCGGGGCTCCCACACCCCGAGCCGGACACAAAACCCAGGCATCCGGGGCTCCCACACCCCGAGCCGGACACAGAACCCAGGCATCCCCAGTCAGACACTCCCTGCCCGGGTTTCCACCCACCTCCATCAGCATCTTGAGGGCGCAGTTGTCCCGGACGCGCCCCTCCTTGCGAGCCTGGGCCGCCAGGTTGGTGAACCAGACGCAGGGGATCCAGTACTTGTTGTAGGACGAGCTCAGGTTCTCGTATTTCTTCCGCTCCGCCCGGGTCATGAAGCCTGCGGGCGAGGGGAAGGGGTCACCCAGCTGCCCCCCAGCCCGGGCCGGGGACCAAACCTGTGGCCTCTGCGTCCCGCAGCCCCTCCAGCCCCCACTACAGGGATTCACACGTCTCCGCAGGGTCAGGCCACCAGGGGGAGCAGGAGAGGCACATGGGGTTCGCCTTGAGCATGAGCAACCGGGACCCCAGTGCGGGAGGGGGGCATTGTTACCACCTGCCCCTCCCCCCCTTTAGACACCCCTTTCATCAGCCTCCCTGAACAGTCCCCCCTCCCCCCTTTAAACAGACTCTACACTGGGATCCCTCACCCAGCGCTGAGATGCAGCCACTTCTGGGGTGGGGCAGGGGGGCTGTTTATCCAGGGACCCCTGGCCCGGCGCTGAGACGCAGCCGCCTGTGGGGTGGGGCCGGGGGCTGTTTATCCAGGGACCCCTGGCCCGGCGCTGAGATGCAGCCGCCTCTGGGGTGGGACGCAGGGGCTGTTTATCCAGAGACCCCTGGCCCGGCGCTGAGACGCAGCCGCCTCTGGGGTGGGGCCGGGGGCTGTTTATCCAGGGACCCCTGGCCCGGCGCTGAGACGCAGCCGCCTCTGGGGTGGGACGCAGGGGCTGTTAATCCAGAGACCCCTGGCCCGGCGCTGAGATGCAGCCGCCTCTGGGGTGGGACGCAGGGGCTGTTTATCCAGAGACCCCTGGCCCGGCGCTGAGATGCAGCTGCTTTTGGCACAGAGGCTGTTGAACAGCCATGCCAAGGTTTTGATCAGGCCGTGAAGTGAGCTCTGGATACAGCTGAAGCAGCGGGAGGGAGTTAGGGAGGTGGAAAGGAATTCCCGGTGCTGGACGCCGGCCAGGCCGCCGGGGTTCAAACCCCCCCCGCCCCCCAACACAAATGCGAAGTGACAGTGGAGTTTTACTGGCTGCGAGGGCCTGGGCTCTTGATTTTTGTCTCCCAACGGATTGCAGCTCGGATCGGGATAGGAGAGCGCCCCCTGTTGAGCCCCCGCCCCGCTCCCTGCAGCACAGCGCCCCCTAGTGCCGCATTGGGGTCAGCCCTGACTGGGAGGGCAGAGCGCCCCCTGTTGAGCCCCCACCCCGCTCTCTGCAGCCCAGCGCCCCCCGGCACCTACCTGCCTCCACCACGTGGTCGATGGTGGGGAAGCGCTTGAAGACGGCGGTGCTGACGGAGCGCAGGATGAGCACGGCCGAGAGGCTGCTGTAGCGCATCAGGGTGCGGCGGTAGAGCCGGCCTCGCTCGTCCCCGCCGTGCACGGAGCCGGAGATGGCGCACATCAGGCGGTCGGGCATGGGCATGCAGCTGTACTGGCTCCACCACCGGTTCACCACCAGCGTGACGTAGAAGCCTGCGGGCAAAGGGACAAACACAGGAGTCAGGAACCAAGCCGGCCACGGAACCCCGGCGTCCTGGACCCCAGCACTGCCCGGCGGGGGACAGAAAACAAGCCCCAAACACAGGGAGGTCAGTGGGGTCCAGTGGGGCTGGGATGAGTCGCTTGCTCTCACCCCATTCCCCCTGGCTTGAGGGGCCTAGCAGGATTCGAACCCAGGGCTGGTTCCGCCCTGGTGGGAGAGCTGAGCCCACACCCACAGCCCAAGCCCCCCCATCGCCCCCTCATGGTGCTACAAACAGCCCAGAGGGGCATTCTGCCCCCCGGGGGGGAGCCAGTGGGGCCCATACACCCTATAGTGCCTGCCCGCCCTAGGAGAGGGCAAAGGGGCCTGGGGGAGGAGGGCACGTCTCTCACACGAGGGGCTGGGCGGGGAATGTGGGGGGGTCCCAGCTCTTACCCAGCACGAAGGAGACGGGGATCAGGTTGGCGTAGTTGTCGCAGTAAATCACCAGTTTCTCAAAGTAGCGTTTCTGATCCTCGGCCAGGACGAAGCTGCGGGTGGGAATTGGGACGGGGGGGGGGGAGAGAGAAATGCAAGGAGGTTGGTGCCCTTGCTCGGGGGTTTTCCACCCAGACCGTGCACGGGGATGGGGCATCCACACACGTGTGCAAAGTGCTGCATGCCCCTCCCCCCCTCATGAGAGCGCAGGGACACAGCCGTGCGAGGGGCCGGGGGCATGTTCTCCCCCCACCCGCGTGCAAAGAGCCACAAGCACGTGTGCAAGGAGCACGCTCACCACAGCCGTGCCCAGGCCCAGGGGCACACGCGCGTGCAAAGGGGGCCCCCCTCACCGGTAGGTCAGGCTGAGCCCCAGGTAGGTGACGAAGAAGGCCAGGAACTCCTTGTACAACAGCTTGTAGATGCTCCCACGCCAGAGCAGCAGCAGTTTGTAGAAGCCCCCGAAACGGGCGTTGGCCACGCGGGCCGTGTAGGTGACAGTCATGGCGGGGCGGCGAGGGGGACACGGGCCCTGCAGAGACACGCGGACAGCGCCGGCCACGGGGTCAGAGCAATCAGAGACGGGAAAGGCCGGAAGGGACGTCAGGAGGTCACGGGGGCCGCCCTGTGCACTGGGGCAGGACCGGGGGGGGGGCCGTCCCTCCTCCTCGCTTTGGGAGGGGAAGTCGGGTGCTATCCACCTGCACGCCAGGTGTAGCCCCACACACCCTGTCTGTTGGCACTGTCTGTACAGCGCCTGGCACGGTGCGGTCCTGGGCCGGGATTGGGGCTCCCGTAATCCAAATGAGGAGGGAACAGGGGAGCACGGAGAACCTCTGGCACGAGGGCAGGGCAGAATGTGGACCCCAATAAGGGTGGAAGTGGATAGTGGGGGAGCACACAGCCCCTGGCCTGGGGGAAGGGGGCACAGAGCACCAGGCATGAGAGGCAGGGAGTCCCTGACATAGAGGGGGATGGGGGGGGTGCTGCCCAAGGAGCTTGCCGGAGGGGGGATGTGGAGTCACTGGGTCTTCACATAACCCACTAGTAAGTCATTGCATGTTAACCAGTCCTCAGTGAAACAGACCCCTCCCCACCCGCCGTAAACTCAGAGCCAACATTCCCACCTCGTAAATTCCCCCTCCCCCCCCAGCTGTTTTCCCCAAATTGGGGAGAAAAGAAAAGAAAGAAGAAACTCAGCCCATGGCAAATCTGTCCATTCCCACCAGTCTCTCAGACCCGGCCCCGTTTCGGCTAATTCGTTATAAATGTCGCCAGCCTGCTTTGCCCCCCCCAAGATTTGAAAGCCCTTTGCAGAAAGAAATTCCACTCACACGACGCCACCCGCTCCTCCTATTTGCCTGGCCTCTCGCTGATGGAGATTTTAAGGCCAGGCCCTATTTTTAGCCAAGTTGGCCCTGAAAAAGCCAACGCTGTTATCGGAGGGTTTGGGTTAAGACTGGGCCGACGAGAGACGGGGAGTTACACGGAGAAAAACGCAGAGGCAAGATGGAGCCAAGGGAATGTGAGGGGAGAGCAGCACTTTTGCCTTCTTAACGCCCCTCTGTGAACATTTGGGGTAAGGCAATTGGGGCGGGTCGTTTTCCTAGGCTGGGAGATTCCAGCTGCCTCTGAGATTGGGACTCTCATTGCAATGGAGACTGTGGGATAAATAGCCGGCAGAGAGCAACCGTGGCAGGCCAGTGGCATGAAAACAGGCTGGGGAAAATACAAGTGAGGCAGCAAGTCTGTGCTCTTCTCTCCCATGTCATCCCAGCCTCAGCTGCATGACTATTAAAAGGCACCTGCGATGATTTCGTTAGGGGAAAGCGGGGAGCCCAGCCTCCAGTCACCCCGCTCTGAGCTCTAGAGCAGACTTCCAGAGCTGGGCTCCATTCCCAGTTCGGGGAGGGGGGCACATGGCAGCTGGGAGCCAACACTCCTATTCACAGCTCCCAACTCTAACCCCCAGGTTACCCCACTCACCTTCCCAGAGCTGGGAACAGAATCCAGGAATCCTGACTCCCAGCCCTAACCACTACACCCCACTCCCTCCCAGCGCGCGGATAGAACCCAGGAGTCCTGGCTCCCAGCCCTAACCACTACACCCCACTCCCTCCCAGCGCGGGGATAGAACCCAGGAATCCTGGCTCCCAGCCCTAACCACTACACCCCACTCCCTCCCAGTGCGGGGATAGAACCCAGGAGTCCTGGCTCCCAGTTTAACCCCTTTTCCACAAAGGGACATTACAAAATGCTTCCAGCTGGGGGAGGGGGTTTAAAGTGGTAAAATTTTAAAGCTTCAACTAACTAAACCAGTGGCCTTCAAAACTTTTGTACTGGTGACCCCTTTCACATAGCAAGCCCCTGAGTGCGACCCCCCCCTTATACATTAAAAACACTTTTGTATCTATTTAACACCATTATAAATGCTGGAGGCAAAGTGGGGTTTGGGGTGAAGGTTGCCGGCTTGCAACCCCCCATGTAATTACCTCGCGACCCCCTGAGGGGTCCCGACCCCCCCGGTTTGAGAACCTCTGAACTAAACTTTCCAATAATTCGATCGTCACTATTCCCATAATATTCCCAAGCCCGCCAAGACCCACCACTAAACCAGTCCATGAACATCATATTCCCAGCTCAGCCCCGTCTGAGAACCATTAGAAACTGGTTCCTTTGTAACCTGTCATTAGAAACTAGCACATTTCAATAGTTAAACAGCAATGATGAAAAATATTCCCCAAATATTCCAATAGCTGCTATGGTTAACTACAACGCTAGCGAGTCACTGGCCACCCAGAGGACAGCGCTTGAGGCCTGGCCTGCTAGTAACTGAACTATTATCCTCCAGACAGTGGCATTCACCTGTGACACCTAGAAGTGGCCTAGCTGTGAGCGCTAGGCCGTCAGATTCCTGATCTCGCTGTCCTGCCAGGCCTGTCATCTCTCTGAGCCCCTGGATGATTTTCACAGTTGGCTCTGACTTGATTTTATTGGAGCTCATTTCAAACCCGCCGAACTGCTCCGAGACTCCTTGTTTTAACCACAGTTCTCCTGATCTTGGGTCTTTTGGTCTTTCAAGCTTCAGCTCCCAGAGTCATGTGATTGGGAGACGCTCCCCGGAGCTTCTCGCCCTGCTAGCTACAGAAAAGTGTCCAGCTCCGGCAGTTGCGACTGATGGCCGATAAAACCAGCCCCCAGGTGACCATGAATGTTTGTAGGCGCCTGTCTCATGATTTTGTGACTGCTGGGGTGGGCTGGGGGGGGGGGGGTTTACTGACATCATTTACACCCCCCCCTGCGGTTGTGCAGCACGACTGGGGTGCTGAGGTGCTACCGTAATACACCTAATACTGTTCAGCCCCCAGCACAATGGGGTTCTGATCCCGGGCGCTGCCGTAATAACACCTCATCCACTGGCAGGATTGGGACTTTAAAGACAGAGCTGAAGGCTCCAGTCTGGAAAGGAGCTCAGCCCAGGGCCCCTCCCCCCACCCCAAGGTCCCCACTGTCTGCTCAGCCCCTCACACTCCCACCCCCCATTCCCACCACTGCGGGGGGGGGGAGCTTTACACTCACCTTGCCTGGATCTGCCGGGTCTCTTTGCAATCAGACACTGGTGGAGGAGAAATTGAACTGAAGGCAGCCAAGCAGCAAATCTACCCCCCACCCACCCACTCACTCTCCTCCTGGGGGGCCAAAGGAGCCGGAGCCCAGGAAGGACCTGGCTGCTAAGCAGGTGAAGACCCCCAGGGACCTCCAGGAGCAGCCAGGGGGACACCAAGGAGCTATTGCAGCTGCTTAAAGAGCCCCCACTCCCCTGGGCTGCTGTTTAAATACCTCCGTGCCCACCCCTCTGACCTTTGTCTTCCCAGAACCTTTGATTGCATGGGGGGGGGGGTTAGAGGGAAGGGCCCTGGGGCGGGGGGGGCGTAGCTTCCTTTCCCACCACTGGAGGGGGTGGCTGGGTTGTACTGGCACCAGTTCCCCAGGGAACACAGAGGGTCCGATCCAGGGCGCTGAGAAATGATCAAGGTGGGGGCTAGTGGGGCGAGTAAGAAGGGGGCTGGGAGCCAGGACTCCTGGGTTCTATCCCTGGCTCTAGGGGGCTAGTGGGGCGAGTAAGGAGGGGGCTGGGAGCCAGGACTCCTGGGTTCTATCCCTGGCTCTGGGGGCTAGTGGGGCTGGGAGTCAGGTCCTGCTCTGAGAAGGGAGCGGGGTCAGAGTTAGAGTAGGGGGCTGGACTCCTTGTTCCTATTCCCATCTCCAGCCCCCCACCTCACCTGCTCTAACCACTAGATCCAACTCCTCCCCTCCCAGAGCTGGGAAGAGAACCCAGGTGTCCTGCCTCCCCCCAGTAGCTGAGCATGGGAGGTGCTGGAGTGTGTGTGTGTCTCTCCCCCCCCCCTCCCCCCCGCAGGGGACCTGAGGCAACCGGCTCCCTCCTGCTATTGGCTTCTTCCCTAGCTCTGTTTGTCGAGTCAACACCCCCAAGGTTTGATTCCTGCGGGGGGAGGCCGGCAGGACAAACACCTCAGACAATGCACTTGCTCCAGCCCGGAGACTCCAAAGCCCCCAGCACATTCTCCAGAGTTACGCAACCCCCCTTCCCAGAAATGCAGGGCAGCCGGGACTCCTGGGTTCTCTCCCCGGCTCTGGGAGGGGAGTGGGGTCTAGTGGTTAGAGCAAGGGGGACTGGGAGCCGGGACGCCTGGGTTCTCTCCCTGGCTCTGGGAAGGGAGCGGGGTCTAGTGGTTGGAGCGGGCGGGGGGTTGGGACCAGGGACTCCTGGGAGGGGGGTGCCGGGCCTTCCCCTTTGCCCCTGGCCAGGTGTGACCCAAGCGAGCAGGGCCCCGGGGCAGTGCTAAGCGGGGTGATCATGAGCAGGGAGCTGCGGGGCCTGTGGGCCGGGGCTGGGCTGTGGAGCAAACCCAGCCCATACCTGGCTAAGCACCGTCTGCCCCCCCCCCCCCCATCAGCCCTGCCCGCTGGGAACAATGCGGGCTGGGGGCTCCCTGCTGATGGCCTAGGGCGAGGTGAGCTCAGCCCTGCCCCAGAGCAACACCCATCAACCCCTCCCCCCGCTGGGGCTGGCAGGGGTCCCTGGGGCTCCCCAGGGCAGCACCTGTCCGGAGGCTGATGCAAGCCCCCCCCCCACCCGGCCAGAACCCCCCCCCCCCCCCCCCCCCCCCCCGCCCCCCCCCCCCCTGCCCCGGGGCCCCCCCGGCCCCCCCCCCCCCCCCCTGTTTGTCTGCAAAGCCATGGGCTGGGAAGGGAGGAGGTGGCAGCTTGTGCCGTGCTGGGCAGTGGGGTGGGCAGCGGAGGGTGGGGGGGAGGGAGGTGTGACTCCCACTACATGGGAGCGGGGCTGATACTGCTCTAGCAGCCCGAGCACCCCTGCAAGTGATGGCTGTAGAACCCAGGAGTCCTGCGCCCCCACCCCCGCAACCACTAGACCCCCACTCTCCTCCTGGAGCCTGGGATAGAACCCAGGAGTCCTGCTCCCAGCCCCGCCCCCCAACCACTAGACCCCACTCTCCTCCTGGAGCAGCCCCTAATGGGCAGAGTCAACACCCCAGCTCTGAAACCCGCCCCCCCCCCTTCATGCACTAACAGGAAACAGCCATGGAGCAGGGCACTGGCCCTTTAAGATCAGCGCCGGTGCCCACCGCCATACTGGGCAGCTTGGAGACACGCGGCTGAGCGGGTCAGCGCTAATGAGCCCCCCCAGCCCCTCGCTGGGGCAGACGCAAGTTCCAGACACGGGCGCCGAGCGACTTACATAACCCCCCTCCTGGGCGCACACGGGGCCCCTCGTGTTTCATAAGCACATCGCTCACGCCTCACAGCCCTGCCGCAGCCGGGCACAGGGCGGGCAGAGATGGCAGCGGCACAGCCAGAGTCTGGGAGGCTCGGCCACGGCCATCGAGCCCAGCCGCGGCCCCACCTACGAAGAGAACCCAGGAGTCCTGGCTCCCAGACCCCTGCTCTCACCACTAGACCCCATTCAGCTGGTGATAGAACCCAGGAGTCCTGCCTCCTACTGTTGGCTTTGATCCACAAGACCCACCCTCTCGTTAGTGACCCTGGTTTGAAGCCCCTCGAGATAAGGCTGGTGCAATCTCCCCTCCAGCTTCCCGGCAGAGCCTCGGGCGGCTGGGAAGGAATCTGAGAGCCAGGCGCTTGATCCCCTTCTCCCAGTGCCCAGGTAGGGCAGGAGAGCAGAGATGGGACATGGGGGAGGCCCCCAGCCCCCTGCCAAGCACAGTTTAATACCAGCCTCCAGCACCCCCCAGGCCCAATTCCACCAAGCAGAGGCAATGGCCAGGGGGCTGGATTCAAGCCCAGTCTGACAGCCCCCCTCAGCAGGGGCTTTGCTCCCTTTGCGGTCAGGGAAGGAACCAGGGCACCAAATCCATGGAGGGGGGAGGGATTTTCTGGGGGCAGCCCCCACAAGAGATCTGGGGGCTCCAGGCAGCCCCCAGCCATGAAGACTGATGTGGGCTCAGGCTGCAGTGCAGGGGCTGGCAGGGAACCCCAGAGCCCTGAGGGGCCCAGCGGCACCGTGGCTTGCTCCCCGTTCCCAGCCTTTGCAGGGGGATCCTGGCGGAGGGTCTGGCCTCCTGACTGGCACTTGAAATCATTGTCCACCTCGCTGTACGAACATCCTTACAGCTCTCGCGTGGGTAGAGAGGCTCCCCCACTGAGGGCTGGAGCTTGGGGGCCACACGTTTGAGGGGGCCAACCTGCCTTCGCCAGGCTTGAATGGGAAGCTGCATCCCTCTCCACGCTGGAGGAAGCCGCCCCACGCTGGGCAAAGGATTCAAGTCCCAGGGCCTGAGCCCAGAAGCTGGCAGCTCCGAGTACTGTCCAGGACACTGCAGGGGTCATAAAGTAGGTGCGAATCGCCCCCTATGAGCCCCCCATCCCCAGCCAGCATGGGGGAAGAGTATGGCCGGCTCTGCACCACAGGAGGTGCAGAGCGAGAGCTAGAGCAGCCCAGAGGCTGCTCTAAGTGATGCTGGGGCCCAGAATACAGGGAACACCAAGGAGGCCCTGCCCCCTCAGCCCACATGCAAGGATGGAGTGACTGAGAATCCGGCCCTGCTCCCCCAGCAGTCCCATGGGTCGGTTTTCTCCCCGCCAGCCCCCTTGTCAATAGAGCAAGCGCACCCACATAGGGATGACTGTCCTTCCCCAGCCCCCCTGCACTACATCGGCTGGCGCAGAGAGGGGAGCGACAGAACCCAGGAGTCCTGACTCCCCGTGCTCCTCCTCTAACCACGCGCTAGACCCCACGCCTCTCCACGCTGGGACCAGCACCAGGGAGCCCTCGCCCCATCCCCTGCTCTAACCCCTACACCGCCTCCGAATCACGGCTTGAGTTCCCCACACAGCACAGCGACTACCCTGCAGGACGCCACGTGGCCTCTGCCATGGAGAGGCTCCCTGCTGCCCCCCGCCTCTGCTTTGAGCTGGGCCAAGGGGCACCCCACTCCCATCTGCAGCCCCTCGCCCACCCACGGGAAGTCCCAGCCCCTCCACCCAAGAACACCCCACAGCCGGACTTTCCTCTCTTTTTTTATTATTATTTACACGTTTTTCCTTAAGCTTTGGGGCCTCGGCTTTGTACAACACCTGGCCGAGCCCCCTCTGCCTCCCAGCGTCCGGAGAACCCCCTCCACCGAGGGGGGGAGCAGCAGAGCACGCTGGGAGAAAGAGGGGAGGGGAGAGACGAGGGACCCATCAAGTGACCTGTAGTGGTGCAGCCCCCTACGGAAGGGAAGGGGGAGAAGGACGTGGTGATTGCTGGTTTTTAATGCAGCCTTGAGACTAGGGGGGGGGGGGGGGCGGTGTTAAGTGGGGGGGAGGGAATCCAGTATTCTGCCTGCGGCAGAGAGATCCTGCCCCTCCTTGGAAGGGGAAATAAATACGACCCCCACCCCTGCTGACTGCAAGCCTCCCTATCATGTGATAGACAGGGCAGGAAGGATTGTGCGCTGCGGGGTGGGGAGGCGGGGTCTGGGTGTGTAACTGACAAAGTGGAATGATCCAGACCGGAGCAGCGGCCGCGCGTCCCTATTTGGCGCTGGGCGGCTTGTAGGGCTCCAGGAGGAGGCTGGAGAAGGTGTTGACTTTGTCGGCTCCTCGCACCTCGTGGGGCAGCAGCGGCAGCTTGACGATGTGGAAGTCTTCGTACAGGTCCTCCATCTGCGGGGGAGGGGTGGGGAGAGGTGAGAGAGAACCAGCCTCCCGGGGAGCACCGCCTCCTCCTCCACCCCAGAGGGGGCGCAGGCTCTGGGGGCCCATTCGGCCGTTAGGGCTCCGTGGCCGGGCTGAGGCCTGACAAGCTGTGTCACACGCTGGCCCTGGGCAGCAGAGCCGGAGGCTGGATCAGGGTAGGGGGCCAAGCTGCTCCCCCAGTGCCGGGTCTCACGTGGCAGCAGGGCAGGTTAAGGCCCCCAGGGCTGGGCTGGCAGATGCCTGGGTTCCAGGAGCCACTGGAAGCTGTAACAAAGGGGGGTTCCGGCCCACTGGAACATGTCTGTACCCACTGATCTCAGCTCCCCATGCCAGAGGAGCCTAGTCCAGCCTCGGGGGTGGGGGTAAAGAAGGCCAGGAGGAGCCCAGCTCAGGGGCAGGGGAAGGGGGAACCCAGAGGGGTGGGTCCAGGGGGCAGCTGCCCAGCCCCCTCCCTACCTGGTCGAGATATTTGGACTGGATCTTGTGCCGGGCCTCGCACATCTTGCAGGGCTTCTCGGGGTCCGGGAACACCAGCTGGTTGACGATGATGTTGTGGGTGTCTATCTTGCACTTGGCCAGCTCCTGGATGAGGCGTTCCGTCTCATAGAGCGACAGGAACTCAGCGATGCAGACGCAGATGAAGGTGGTCTGCTCCTGCCGGGCGGGGGGTGACACCGTTACTCTGCTCTCAGGGCCCTTCCAGGACCCCCAGCCCAGCCTGCGTGCGTGTGCGCCCCCCCATTTGACAGAGGGGGGAAAATGAGAAACCAAGAATGGAAGAGATCTGCCTAGGATCACACAGCACATCGATGGCAGAGCTGGGGAGAGAACCCAGGAGTCCTGGCTCCCAGCTCTCCTGCTCTAACCACTGAACCCCACTCACCTCCCAGAGCTGGGAACAGAACCCAGGAGTCCCCACTGCTCTACCCACTAGACCATGCTCCCTTCCCAAGGGAGACAAAGGACAATGCTAATGAGGCTCTCACCTCTGTAGGCAACCTTCTCCCCAAACCCATGTCACTGATGGAGCCTGGGCAGGAAACAATGCACAGGAAGTGAAGTGTTTGTTAAGGGAACTTAAAAGCCAGGCAGGCTCCCAAGCCAAGGACAGCAGAGCCTAAGAGCAGATCTCAAAGGATCTTTTCTTATGCTCGGCTGGGAAGTTCTTTGGGGTGGGGGCCGGCCGTCTGTCCAGCAGCAGCACCCTGGGCGCTAGGGCGCAACGCCGAATAAATACAATCAGTCGCTTTTAAAAGAAAACAGCTTTCCCAGGGAGGATTAGATCAATGGGCCCACCCAGCCCACTGTCCCATCCCCGCTCCCAGGCTGGGACCCACCAGTTCCTCTAGCCCAGGATCACTGCTGCTGCGCTAGATTCCACCAATGGTTCACCGGATCCTCACCTGTGTGTGTGTGGGGGGTCCTAACCGCCCTGCCCCCTCCCCTGCCACTGAGGCCTTGGCTACACTGGCGCTGTGCAGCGCTGCAACTTGCTGCACTCAGGGGTGTGAAAACGCCCCCCCCGAGTGCAGTGAGTGCAGCGCTGTAAAGCGCCAGTGTGATCAGAGCCTGCAGCGCTGCAAGCTACTCCCCTCGGAGAGGTGGAGTACATACAGCGCTACGAGAGAGCTCTCGCAGCGCTGGCGGCGCGACTACACTCGCGCAGCGCTGTGAATTCCCGAGTGTAGCCAAGGCCTGAGCCATGTGAAGAGGTTAAATCAGAGAAGGGTGCACATGTGGGGGTGGGAAGAGGGAATTCCTGCCTGTCCCCAGCAGGCAATCAGGTCTGCCCTGCAACATCCAGAGCTGGGAGCAGCAGTGTTAATGGGCGAGAAGTCACCCGGCCCGGCCTGCCCCCAGCCCTTTTCTTTTCAAGGCAGACAGATGGTGGCAGACAGGAGGGGCCCCCTGCGGCAGCGAATTCCACAGCAGTCTTGCAGGAATGCAAAGGGACTGGTGGGGCTGGGTTCACTGTAGCTCGGGGCGTTAGCAATACCAGGCCTGACACTGCTGGAGCAGCCCAAAGGGGGCCTTAAAAAAGGTAGAAACTCCTCCCCCCAGCCCATGCACACCTCTGTGTAAGTCGGGGGGCTGGATGAAGTACGCTGCCTTATTAGGGTTGCCAACCCTCCAGGATTGGCCGGGAGTCTCCAGGAATTAAGATTAGTCTTTAATTAACGATTCTGTCATATGATGAAATCTCCAGGAATACATCCAACCAAAATTGGCAACCCTATGCCCTATAACTATTCTCTGCTTCCCGGGGCCCATAGGAATCACAGCACAAACTAGAGCAGCCTCGAGGCCGCTCTAACTTGCACCAGCAGGGCGCCCAAGAACGCAGGGAGCACAAAAGTGACCGGAAGCCGTGTCCTTCATCCCTGCCCCATGTGCAAGAACCAAGGGACCAGGCCCGGAGTCTTCTCCCAGGGCTTCTTGTCAATTAAGATTTCAACTCTGTCGGACTCCAGTTTGTATCAAATCCCTTTCTCCAAAGCCTGTTTGCAACACAAACAGCCTTGGGCTAGTGCCAGAGAGCTAGAAATGGACGAACCGAGAGGGTCAAACTGACCCGTCCAGTTTCACTGTCCAAAGGGAGGGGAAAACCAACGTCAAGAGCACCAAAGGCCTGCTGAGATGTCTAGGTGTCAGATCCCTCCCCTCCCTACCCAACCCTGGCTCCTAACACTTGAAGGAGTTTTCCCCCCTGGACGGAGGGAATCCACCTCTGAGAGGCAGAAGCTAGGTCAATGGAAGAATCCTTCCCTTGGGCTGGCCATGTTGATCTCACTCCGATGCTCAGGGCCTTGTGTGACATAGCTAGGTCTAAGTTTTGGGTGTAGACTGGCCTGGGACTCCAGAAACTAGACCCCCCCCCTCCCCCCGGCTCTGCCACAGAGCCCCGGGCAAATCATTTAACCCTCTCCGGGTGCTTGCCCCCTTCCTCACACGGGTGCTGTGAAGATTGGATCTGAGCCCATCACAACAGATTTCAAAGTGGGGTCAGCTACACAGGAACAAGGCGTTCATCAGGAACAGCTGGTGTGCTTTAAATTCACGTGGCTAGCTTAAGGGGTGACCTGACCACAGTCTGCAAGTACCTCCATGGGGAACAGATAATAGAGCTTGGTCTTCTAGACTGAACCGCCCAACAAACTCCAACAGCTGGTCACTAAAGCTAGACCAATTCAGATGGAAAGGGGGGGCATGGAGGGTAATTTACCACTGGAAGAACTTAATAAGGGCTCTGGGGCATCCTCCGTCACTGGCAATTTTTAACTCCTGACTGGCTGTTTTTCTGCTCTAGTTCAGACAGGAATGAATTCAGGCTGGTGCCCTACAAGAAGTCAGACTAATCAGCGGTTCTCAAACTGTGGGTCGAGACCGCATTTTAATGTGGTCCCCAGGGCTCGCTTAGATTTGCTGGGGCCCAGGGTCAAAGCCCAAGCCCGAGGGCTTCAGCTTTGGCCCCCTCCTCCCCAGGCTGGCGGGCTCAGGCTTCGGTCCCCCCTCCTGGGGTCGGGTAGTAATTTTTGTTGTCAGAAGGGGGTCGTAGAGCAATGAAGTTTGAGACCCCCTGGCCTAGATGATCACACTGCTCTTTCTAGCCTTCGGATCTATAAGTGTAGGTCCCAGCACAATGGGGCCCGGGTCGGGGCCTCTGGGTGCTACTGGAATACAGACAGATACTAATTGTGACAGTGTCTAAGCACGACGTGCCTCCAGTCTTCACTGCATTCTGCGTGGGGGCTGGCCTCAGCCAAAAGAGGCAACGATGGACCCGCCACTTACCCCCTTGTTGAGTTCTTACCGGGTCTTTGAATTGCTCGCTCACTGACCGAATGACGGGGAGGGTCTCCTCCAGCTTGGAGGCCAGCTGGTCGGCGTTCATGTCCCCCAGGCCAAGCATGTTACACATCTGGAGAGGGATGGGATGCAACGCCACAGCTCAGCGAAGAGAACCGGACAGTAGCTAGCGCTCTGAGCCCAACACCCTGGGCTGGATGCAGTCCCACGGCACGCTCTGCCACCTGGACCCCAGGACGGGGTGTCCCATAGCCCCAGCCAAGCCCAACCTGACTTACGCCAGAGGGATACAGAGCCTTACCCATGAGGACCCAGGCCAGATCAGAGCCGCTGAGTGCGACACACCATGACCCAGGCCAGCGCGCTCGAGTGCTGCACACCCAGTCCATGGTCTAGCCCAACCCCACCCAGATCTAGAAAGAAAGCTACTTGCCGAGAAGAACCACGCAATAGCCCAAGCCAGCGACTGGCTCCCCAGCTCCCTTCCCCACTTACCTGAGATATGAAGGGGCTGATCTGGTTCTTAATCTGCATCAGGCGGCCCAGGCCCCGCTCCACGATAGTGGGGAAGTTGAGCAGTCGCAGCGTGTGCCCAGTGGGGGCTGTGTCGAACACCACCACGGAGAAATTCATCCCCTTCACCAGCCTGTATGTGCCAGACAGACATGAGCACCAGGGCCGGGAGCCAGGGGCTTAGCCTCAGAAGCGTAACCCCCCTCATCTCATTCCCACAATAATCTGGAGTGCCCCCCGTCCCTTCTCCCTAGTGCTGGTGAAAGGTGCCAGACTACACATGACCCAAACCAGTCTCCCCCCTCCCTGGCTGGCTGTAGTGGTATATACCAGAGGGCTCCTTCCTCCCCCCTACACCATTGGAGGTGGTAATGGTACATCCCAGAGGCCTCCTGTTGAAATGGTATATCCCAAAGCTCCCTCTTGCCTGAAACTGGTCTTGTTCCCCTCTCTGACTGTAATGGTACAGCCTAGAGTGCTCTTCCACGTGCAGGGGAGGGGCTCGTTCTCAACACACACACACACACTAATTAACTCACACCTGGATAACTAAGTCCCCTAGATAGCCCCCCCACAGGCAGAGCAGTGGCACCCCTGCCCTAGAGGGGAGTTCACCCTCTGTTAGGGTGACCAGATGTCCCGATTTTATAAGGACAGTCCCGATTTTTGGGTCTTTTTCTTATATAAGGTCCCATTACCCCCCCCCCACCCCCATCCTGATTTTTCACACTTGCTGTCTGGTCACCCTACCCTCTGTGGTCCATTCCATGCTTGGCACAAATTGGCACAGTGGTGTCAAGTGCAGTGGGTGGATTTTGTGACACCTGTTCCCAGAACTATGAGCCACCCAACTCCTGTCTCCCGTGGCCAATCAGCTGTCAGATGGGGATGGATCTGGACTAGGATTGGCTACCTAGAATTTCACTCCCATACTCAAGAGTCCCAGGTGAACTATGTGCTGTGGAGGGAACGGGTTTTGCTTCTGCTCAGTTTACGTTTCCAAATGCTTCGCTGAGAAGTCTTTGGGATTGTTCTCGATAACTGTGATATTATAATCGAGCTTAGAGGCTCCAGCAGAGATCGGGGTCCCACTGCGCCGGGCGCTGTACGGTGTGACAAGCCGTGCCCTGAAGAACTCACAGGGCAAACAGAAGAGAGAGACAAGGGAAATGCTCTTAGCTCTGCTTTACAGCTGGGGAACCGAGGCCCTGTCAGCCACAGCCACTAGGCCACAGTCCCAGATGCCTCGGACAGAGCTGGGAACCAAACAGAGGTCTTGAGTTTATGCTCTGTCCATTAGGTCGTGCCTCTGACCCTGCCAACAGCTGAACCCAGATCTCACAGGCCTGAGCACAACGCCATGGGGGTGGTGGTGGGGAAACGTACCCACCCTGAAGACCTGTAGCCACCTTCTGACTATAATGGTACGCCCCACCCACCTCCTTGCTGATGGTCTTACCCGCCCGTCCCATCCCCATGTGACAGATGTGCAGCCCCATTGCTTAACGCACTACAGGAAGGTGCTCGGACCAGTGACAAGTGCAGTATGAGAACCTATACAGAAGACAGTCCTCTTTCACCTACAGATGGTCTCATTCCCACCCACGGTGCTGTAATGGTACATTCTAGTGAGCCTCCTCTATAGGTGGTCTCATCCCCTGCCTTTACAGCATATCCAACCCCTTCTCCCCCCCCCCCCCAATGGTACATCCCAACCCCATCTCCCCTACAACAGGTGATCTGCCCTTCTCCTCCCCCTGCCATAGTACTGGTACATCCCAATCTCTCCTCCCCTATGATAGGTGGCCTGCCCTTGTCACCTTTTTGTCAGAGCTATCCCAACATCAACTAAGCGTCCCAATCGCTTCAGGCAAGTATCATGGGCCAGTGCCAGGCTGCCGAGCTCACCTCATCACCTCCGCATAGCTCATGGCCTCATCGATGCCGGGGAAGGCGCTCATGGCCTCCTGCATCATCTTCTTCCCCATGCTCAGCATGTTGTCCTCCTCGAAGAACTCATCCGGGAGCTCAGCCACCCCCAGGCTGGGGTCAATCTCCTGGGGAAAGGGAGGAGAAGGGGGCAACGGTTTAGGGAAGAGTGGCCATCACTGTCCAAACGATAGGAGACTCGTTGGCTCAGCACCAGCTCTTGCCTTCGACACGAGAGCATGACAGAGGGGAGATAGACACATTTCAGAATGCCTGATGGGTTAGAACAGGGGCTGCTGGATTCTAGTCTCTGCTCTGGAAGGGGAGTGGGGTCCAGTGGTGGTGGTGGGGCGCTAGGAGTCAGGACTCCAGGACTCTAACTCTTGGCTCTGGAAGGGAAGTGGGGGCTAAAGGCTGGACCAAGGGAAACTGAGTCAGGACTCTTCCCCTCTCTTCCCAGTTCTAAGAAGAAGCTTGATCGCGTGGTTAAAACAGGCAACTTGGAAGCAGGACTCCTGGGTCTGTCACTGCAAGCACTGAGAGACTCAGCTCCAGCTCTGCACACGGCAGAATGAGCCATTGGAAACCCATCCTCTTACCCCTTCCTCTCCTCCCCCAGCCCTAACTCACCATTGCAAACAGGTTGTCATAGCCCTTGACTTTTGTGGGGACCTTGGAGAATTTCTGGTCGAAGGCATCGGAGATGTTGTGGGCTGGGTCGGTGGAGATGATGAGGACGCTCTCACGCACCTTCGACAGCTGCACGGCCAGGCTGCAGCTGTGGGGGACAAATCAATGGCGATGAGAAGGGAAACAGCTAAGGAAAATCCATGGGGCTGGAGGGGTGAGGCGTGAGACATGGGGGCAGGGGGTGTTCACCTCTTCCCCACAGGTGCAATGGTAGATTCCAGCTCCCCTACAAATAGTCTGTTCTTCTATTCCCCCCCCCCCAGCATAATGGTACATACCAGGTACACCAGTAGAAGCCACCTGTTCCTTGGTGCAATGGTATATCCCAAGCACTCTTCACAAGTTGTCCCCCCACCCGCAAATACGGTACATCCCACCCAACCTTATCTACAGGTGGCCACCCTCTCCTCCCACCCCACAGTAACAGCACATCCCACCTCGCTATAATAGTACATCCCAACCCCTACAAATGATCTCACCACTTGCTCCCCTTACTAGTGGTAAATCCCACACCCCTCCCGTACACAATGGTACATCCCAACCCTTCTCGCCTACAGATGGTGTCAATTCTCCCTATATACTACCATGGTACAGTCTAATGGGGCCTCGTCTACAGGCAGCCTCAACCCCCCCCCCGCATGATGGTACATCCAACCCCTCCAAGTGGCCTCGCCACTCCCAA